CTTTAAAGCAGTGGAAGATGGAGATATGGTTAAAGTGCAGGAGCTAATACAAGATACGGGATCAGCTGTGAGGAAAAACAAGACAAGATGCACACTCCTTCATGCTGCAGCGTCTCACAACCAACCGGATGTGGTGATGTTTCTGCTGAAATTTATCAGTCCCAATGTTACTAACAAGGAGGGACAGACTCCAGCTCATGTAGCCGCTGAAAAAGGTCACACACAAGTACTGAGTCTTTTAGTGCGTGACTCTGACTTTGAAGCTGACAAACGGGATAATCGTCATAACACAGTAAAATCTTTAGTAAGTATTTATGATGGAATCTTTGATACTACGGCAGCATTGAACTAAGAAATTTTGAATCCGAGTTTCCAGCATTAAAACCTAATTTGTAAAGTGCTATGATGTAGCTAATTGTGTAAAAAAAAAAAAAAAAATCAACTCGAGTATTTACTTTTCTAAATTAGTTTCTTTCTAATTTAAGCTTGGTGGCCATCTGTTCAAGGCCATCTTAGAAGGAAACAAGAAAGAAGCAGAAAGACTTGTGGAACTTGGTGCAGACCCAGACAATCATGGTGGAAAGCTGGTGAACGGGCTGTTGGCACGAGAGCTTGGAGTCACTACACCTCGCCTCCTGGCCAATGCCCTGAATATGGAATGGGCTGTTACTATGTTTGCAAAGGTGATCCTCTTATATCTCATATTTTCTCAAATTGTCTTAAGAAGTAAACACTTATATGATGTAATGTAAGCTTTGGAAAACTTACATTGACTCCAAATGTTTCAGAAAGCAAGAAATGATGAAACCGTTGAAACTGGCTTTCTAACATCAGCCGCCTCAAACTCGGTACAACTTAAAGTGAGTTACGTTTTGTTATGCTTTGAATATGAAATGTATCATATATATATATATATATATATATATATATATATATATATATATATACTTCTAAAAAAATATATAACTAATTTTAATTTGAAGAAAATTTCATTACTTTACATTCCACACCTTTTAATTCCAGGTACCCACGCGACAGTTTCACGTGAGACATGCAACAGCAATTCAAGGAGGTGCTGATGTGTACAAGATGGACAAAGAAGCACGAGGCTTTGTTCGCATCTTCAACTTCAGTTCTTTTGAGGACAGATCCGACCTGAACCTTCAGCAACTCGACTACGATGCTCGCATTATGTCAGATGTATTTGATAACATGGGATACAAGTGTAAAACACACTCGTCACTCACGGCTCAGCAAACTAAGGAAGTCCTGAAAAATATTCGGGATGCTGATGAACTAACAGACGTCGGATGTGCAATATTTGTCATTTCTGGTTATAGTGTAAATGGCAGGAATTTTCTTACGTCTGACATGAAATCTGTAGACATCGACTGCATCTTAAATCTCTTCAAGGATTCCGAATGTCCTCAGCTCAAAGACAAGCCCAAACTTTTCATCTTTAACTTGTACAAGCTGAGTGAAGTTATCACGACTTCAAGCAGTGAAACTCTAAAAATGGTGAGGTTGACAGATCCGCTCAACGACATGGCTTATATCTATTCCAACAACATTGGTCTCAACTGTATCCCGAATGGGAAAGGAACGGCTTTCAACTGGTGTTTATGTCGCACTTTGGCAGAGCATGCTGCTGACCAGGAATTTTGCGATTTTTACAGAGAATTCCTGAAATATTATAACGAGAGCTCTCCTACTTTCTCACCCGAATTGAGGTACTTTGGTTTCACCAAGAAATTCTTCTTTAATCCTATGTGAATTTAATGAGATCCTCTGTAAAGTTTTTATCTGATTTATACACCATTAATGCAAGAGATCTGCAATGACATGTTAATTGAGGTACTTAAAATTTAATTATTATTTAAAGAAAATCTCTAGTCAAACATTGAAGAAAAGTAACATTGTGGTTTAATTTTGATAAATAACTAACAAAATATTTCAGTTACTTCACTTGCTCTGTGAATGTCTCATACCGTTTCCACCGATTCTCGATATATATGTATTTATACACATATATATAATTATACAGGAAGATATCTTCTTATTCAGACATGATTTATCATATTCATGCAAATAATGTGCTTAATATGGCTAGTCCTGCAAATACTGTACATTGTAAGTATTTTGTGTAAATACATCTATCTTTTGTATTTTGTATTTTCATACCCTGTTCTTTAGATCTTTAGTCTTACCACATTTCCATAAGATGATTACAAGAGTGAAACATTTTCAATCCGATTAAAGATTATTGAGCACAAAAAACAAACTTTAGTGTCTATAACGCCCATGAGAATGATTGAGTGTTTAATGGACAGTAATTTTACTATGTATATATGCAGTACACACAACACTCATGGTATAGACAGATAGATAGATACAGAGATAGATATGTAGATATTGACAGGTACAAGGGATTATCAGTATCATTTTTTTTTAACAGATAGGGATACAGATATGCTAAACGGATACAGGCTATGATTTATTTGTCATATCTGGCTAAAATGTGATGGCAGGAAATTTTTAAGTAGAGGTCCTCAGAATATTCCGAGTAACAGAAATTATCTTTGCGGCCGTGGATATATGACTGATACATACATATGAATATATATATGAATATATATATATATATATATATTTATTTATTTATAGATAAATATATATGTATGCATACATGTATACATGGAAATAGACATATGTATCAGCATATGTATATATATATATATATATACATATATATGTGTGTGTATTTATTCATTCATTTATATACTGTATATGTATTAGTATATATATATGCATATATATACATATCTACATATATGTGTCTATGTATATTATATATATGTACATATATGTATGTACATATATGTGTATATATATATATATATATATATATATATATATATATATGTGTGTGTGTGTGTGTGTGTGTGTGTGTGTGTGTGTGTAGATAAGTATATATATATATACACTCATCATTGTACATATGCATGTATATATATGGGCGTATATTTATACGTGTGTGTGTGCGTGTAAATGTGTGTATGTCTCTATATAAACACACATACACACACACATATATATATATAATTTGTATACGTAGAATGCAATATATATATATATATATATATATATATATATATATATATATATATATATATATATAAAAGCAAACACATAGATATATAATATAAATATATATGTATATATACATATATATTTGTATAAACATATATATTGTTGTGCCTATGTACACACATATATGTATATGTGTGTGTGTTTGTGTGTATATATATACATAAATACACACACATATGAATAAGTTAACAAATGAATATACATAATCACACAAATACATATGTATGTATGTAATTTGACGATTGAAAACATCCCCACGTGTGCAGACGACACTTGGCAACTCTCTCGGGATGGGACTTGTTGTGCTACGTCAATATGACGTCACGGAAGGGGATGGCGTGTGATGATATTTATGCATGATCGTGCATATCTTTATATTGAAAAGAAAGTGGTAATCAATATAATTGCTGATTATCTACCTGCGCTTGTTTGCTATTTCGGTTCTTACTTGTACACTAGTAGTATGTACCGATTAGCTAATCTGCCGAACACTACTATCATCGTGATGATAATCAATTAGTGATGTGGAGCGAACAGCGTGTATGACTTGGTGATTGGTGGTGTATGTGTTACAGTATTACCCGTTAGGTTAACTACATAGCAATTGATTAAATTGCTAAAGTAATGATCGAGTTTCTCGTCTCTGTTATCTCTACTATTCATAGTTATAGTAAGAAATGGCAATGAATGAAATAATGGAAATGGAGTCATCCATTGTCACTAAAATGTCACTATCATTGTGGAATATATGTATGTGTGTATGTGTATCTGATTAGCTATCTACGCACATAGACATATACTGTGCACACAAACACAAACACATATATATGTGTATATACTATACATATATACATATATATACACACATGCATACACACATACACACACAGAAATATATATATGTGCATGTGTGTGTGCGTGTATACATATGTGTGTGTGTTTAAATATATAATACATTCATAAATATAGCATATACAGGCATACACACACATATATGAATATATGTATATGTATATATATATTTATATATATATGTATATATATATATATATATATATATATATATATATATATGCGTGTGTACAGTACACACACATATATATACATAATATGCACACACCCACATATATACATTGTATGCACACACACACTCACACACACACACACATACACACACAAACACAAACACACACACATACACGCACGCACACACATAAATATAAATATACGTATATATAAATATATATATACATATGCACGCATATATATAAATCTCTCTCTATATATATACAGATGTATATATTTACCTATATGTGTGTGTCCGCAAAAAAACAAAAAGACAGAAAGGTGGACAACTGAAGGTGCGAGATGGCGTAGGGCGAGAGAAGAAAAAAAAAATAGATTGAGAATTAGAGAGAGAGAGAAACAAGAAATTTGCACGGCGTAAAAAAGACTAGATTGAGAATTAGAGAGAGAGGGAAACATGAAATTTGCACGGCGTAATAACCCGCTCTCGTGACGTCATCGTGACGTAGCATCACAAGTTTCAACCCGCGAGAGTTGCCAAGTGTCGCTGGCACATAGCGATGTAATGTGATAAACTATTGAAATTATATAAATATGTATATATAAACAAATAAATATAATGTATACTATATCCCATTTTCATGCAATGTTGAAATCCGTAAATGAAAACAATATCGGCATAAGTTTGAGCGTATTACTATGGATAAATTCGATATGCATATTGCAAGGCATGCGCAACTGAGAACGCACGTCCCAACGTGTCTGGCGTCGGAGCCCTATATATAGCGGACACGCCGACATGGCAGTCAGTGTTTACTCGCTCAGCCTTTAGAGAGTATTCAACATTTTAAGGTGCTCAGATAATACCTTGAGGCATAATTGTGCGTTTGAGAAAGGGACGTATTGCAGTTTATTGCGCAAAATCGTTGATGTTTGTACTTAGTTACCAATTACTGGATTAATATTAAGGTAAGGAAAATTGTTATACAGACATTAAAAGACACATTGTGTAACGAAATTGCATGGTGTAGTACAAACTACATAGCTCGTGAAAATCACGCTTCCATATCTTCCGGATTTCTCCATTAATGGTAATAAGAATCAAAACGTTTTATTAAACATTATTGGAAATTACATCTCAGAATTAGTAACAACATAGACTTGATAGTAGTCCAGTTACTCCCACTGTTTTATATCGTAACCGTTTTTTTTTTTTTTGTAATTAGAAAATAGGTGTTGATAAAACTAACATTTACTTTTGTGTTTTGCAGAATACACGGCGAAGAAAAATCAAATAATAGGAGAGACTTGAAGGTCACCAAAGCACGGTGACCGTCGCCCTCACAGCCAATCCTTCTCAGCGAACTTATCCTTGAAAACATGGGTGATAAAACACCACCTTACATTCCGGAAGATTGCCTTCCCGTGGAGGAAGAAACTGGTCTTCGATCTGAAGTTGTGCGAACCAACTCGTTCTTCTGCCAGTCTCTGCTGCGGGAAATGTCAGAGAATTCATTGATTTTGCTCCCGAACGCAAAGATCTCCAATGAAGATTTAGCCAACTGTAACAGTTACTCTTCCGAATCGCAAGAAAATTCGAATGTGACGCCGGATTCGCTATTCAAGCTAATAAGACGATGCAGTGGCATGGAGAAGACTTCAGTATCTGGAAATATGTTTAATGACCAAATAATCAAAAGTCCTAGCAACCTGTCTACGGATATTTCATCAGAAGAAACGTCAAAGGAAACGGTGCCTGAACTACCCATGAAAAGATTCTGCAGTGCAAATACGGATATTTCCTCCAAAGAAGTGGAAGTTCTAACAAGTCAAGCCCCATCCAAAGAATTCTCCCTGAAGAGGTCCAGGAACTTGTCAACTGAAGGAGAATCTGAAGCTTCATTAGGAAAGAGAGCAAGGGTCTCAACAGAGGAAGCTGGTACAGTAGAACAGGCTCCATCAGATACAAAAGTTAAATCCGGAGTCTCACCTAATAAAGATAAGTCAGGTCAAGCAGCAGCGAAAGAGGCAGTGATATCTGAGGCCATAATTACCATTGAGAAATCCAAGGATATTCAAGCTTCAACTCCAAGATCTGGGAAAAAGTCTCAGAGATCTTCATCTGTTCCAAATCAGCAGCAGAATACATCCTCTATAGATTTTGATAAAGAAAAAAAATCAGAAGATAAGTATTCTGAAGGCGACAGATGTTCTATTTGTGGAAAAACAAACTGTCCTTTAGATCCAAAACGGACTTCGAAAATAAGCCCCATTTCCATGCCCCAAAAGTCACTATTTGGGAAATTAAAGTCATCACGAAAGTCAAAGCAATACCAACTTAATGTTATGATGGCGAAGAATACGAAGACTCCAACGAAACGTTACATTAATACCCGAAGTTCAACAAACAGACTGGCTAAACGCATCGGTAACCACACGCCACTTCATGTCTTCAAGTTAAAGGTAATGTAAACTTTTATTGGACATATCTACTTGTTTATAAATCAAATATTTGATAATTTGCCTTTCATTGTGCTTTAATAGTTTTCAAAATGTATCTGAAAGTTCAACAATTTGTTATTGCTCAATAGGGTCGGCTCTTCAAAACCGTAGAAGATGGAGATATGGTTAGAATGCAGGAACTAATACAAGATACAGGATCAGCTGTGAGGAAAAACAAGACCAGATGCACGCTCCTTCATGCTGCAGCGTCCTATAACCAATCGGAAATGGTGATGTTTTTGCTGAAATCTATAAGTCCCAATGTTACTAACAAGGAGGGACAGACTCCAGCTCATGTGGCCGCTGAAAAGGGTCACACACAAGTGCTGAGTCTTTTAGTGCGTGACTCTGACTTTGAAGCCGACAAACGGGATAATCGTCATAACACAGTAAAATCCCTAGTAAGTATTTATGATGGAATCCTAGATACTACAGCAGCATTCAAATCAGATATGGATGAGTCCGAGACACCAGCATTAAAACATAAACTGGAAAGTACTAGAATGTAGCTGATTGTGCAAAAAACATTTTTAACTCGAGTATTTACTTTTCTAAATGTTTCTTTTTAATTTTAAGCTTGGTGGCCATCTGTTCAAGGCCATCTTAGAAGGAAACAAGAAAGAAGCAGAAAGGCTTGTGGAACTTGGTGCAGACCCAGATAGTCATGGTGGGAAAGCTGGTGAACGGGATGTTGGCACGAGAGCTTGGAGTCACTACACCTCGCCTCCTGGCCAATGCCCTGAATATGGAATGGGCTGTTACCATGTTTGCGAAGGTAATCATCTTATATTACATATTTCCTCAAACTACTGACACTATCTTGAAACGTTTATATGACGTAATGTAAGCTTTGGAAAACTTATATTGACTCCAAATGTTTCAGAAAACAAGAAATGATGAGAAAACCGATGAAACTGGCTGTCAGACATCAGCCACCTCCAACTCGGTACAACTTAAAGTGAGTTACGTATTTTTATACTTTGGAGAGGAATTGTATTATATATATATATATATATATATATATATATATAGATATATATATATATATATATATATATTTTTTTTTTTTTTTTTTTTTTTTTTTTTTTTTTTTTTTTTACTTGAAAGTCTATAACTAATTTTTATTTTGAAGAAAATTCCTTCATTACTTTCCATTCCATTAAGGACAGATAATCTTTCATTTCAGGTATCTACACGACAGTTTCACGTGAGACATGCAACAGCAATTCAAGGAGGTGCTGATGTGTACAAGATGGACAAAGAAGCACGAGGCTTTGTTCGCATTTTCAATTTCAGTTCTTTTGAGGACAGATCCGACCTGAACCTTCAGCAACTCGACTACGATGCTCGCATTATGTCAGATGTATTTGATAACATGGGATACAAGTGTAAAACACACTCGTCACTCACGGCTCAGCAAACTAAGGAAGTCCTTAAAGATATTCGGGATGCTGATGATCTAACAGGCGTCGGGTGTGCTATATATGTCATTTCTGGTTATAGTGTAAATGGCAGGAAGGTTCTTACGTCTGACATGAAATCTATAGACATCGACTATATCTTAAATCTCTTCAAGGATTCCGAATGCCCTCAGCTCAAAGACAAACCCAAACTTTTCATCTTTAACTTGTACAACCTGAGTGAAGTTATCACGACTTCAAGCACTGAACCTATAAAAGTGATGAGGTTGACAGATCCCCTCAACGACATAGCTTGTATCTATTCCAATAACATTGGTTTCAACTGCATCCCGAATGGGAAAGGAACAGCCTTCAACTGGTATTTGTGTCGCACTTTGGCAGAGCATGCCGCTGACCAGGAACTTTGTGAATTTTACAGAGAATTCCTGAAAAATTATAACGCGAGCTCTCCTACTTTCTCACCCGAACTGAGATACTTTGGTTTCACCAAGAAATTCTTCTTTAATCCCATGTAAATTTAATGAGGTCTTCTGTAAAGTATTTTTTTTATCTGATATATACACCATTAATTCAAGAGATCTGCAGTGACATGTTAATTGAGGCAATTGATTTTTAATAATTGTTTAAAGAAAATTTCTGGAGAAACACTGGTTACTGGGACAAGCGTAGAAAAGTAACTGGTATTATTTCGATAAATTACTATCAACAAAATATTTCAACCACAGCTCTTGGTTTCTGATTTTCAATATTCTCATAACTTTTCTACCGATTCTTGATATATATGTATATAATATATATTATATATATATATATATGTGTGTGTGTGTGTATGTGTGTGTGTGTGTGTATATATTATACAGGAAGATGCAAATGTTGCACATTGTAAGCTTTTAGTGTAAATACATCTATATTTTGTATTTAGCCTTTCATATCCTGTTCTCTAGATCTCTATGCTTACTATATTTCTGTTAGAACGTTAGAAGAGTGAAAAACTTATTAGGGAAAAAAATGATTCGCAAAATCGAAACTTTGGTCAACACGAAAATGATTGGGGGTTTAATGCATTGATATGTTATGGACTGTAATTTTACTATGTATATATTCAGTACACACATGGTATAGACAAAGACAGATATGCACAGGGACAGAGAGATAGTTTACATATAGGAAGATGTTGACATCTCTGTGTACACGACAGACAATGAGGCAAGAGGGACTGCCAAATTCCTCATTTTTAATAGACAGGGATACAGAATTGCTAAACGGATGCAGGACGTGCTTTATTTTTTATACCTGGCTCTGATAGAAGTGATAATCTGTTTTCACTACATTATTTTCGGGAGATTATTCTAACAAAATAATTTTTATGGCCATGGATTTATGAATGATGTTTAGTGAAGCTGTGCATTAATATATGCGATGTAGTTTAAACAGAAATCTGTTTTTTTCCTTTATCAGTGTATAGAAACATACTTATATGCATAAATGTGTGTATATATATATTTGAATGTATATGTGAATGTATATTTATAAAGATGAATATATGTAAACACTTAGATATGCCTATGTATCAGCAGATGTATATATGTATTCATATATACATATTCATATATAAATACATGTGTATATATTTTTTTGTGTGTGTGAGTGTGTATGGGTGTATCTATGTACTCATCTATTAAAATATTGTATATGCATCAGTATATACATATACATATA